GGGTCATCCGAGGTTACACGTGCCGCGAGGTGCATCCAAGGGCGGCACGTGTAACAGCGAGTAGGCATAGCAATTACGTCGCCAACACTATACTAATATTATAAAGAGGAAACCTTTGTTTTATTGCAATGAATAGGTTCAAAAACTACTGGGCCGAATGTAAAAATTATTTTACAAGTATAAATTCGAATATTAAGGTGTGTGAAAGATAAACATGTCAGTAAAGCGGGGTAGTAGTGGCATGTCAGTAACTGGCATAATGCGTTTATGTCTTGTCAAACTACGTGCCCACCCACCTCAGCTTATACGCATATCAATAATGACAAATATTGTTAGTTACTTGCATGCCAAGTACTGTCTAGTCAAGGAGGCGTTAATACGTAACTGAAGATGGTACATGCCAGTACCTAGTATGCAAGTGTGAACTACACGCGAATGAAGACTAAAAAGTACAATTCTCTTCTTAATCAATTTCTTTGTTTCTCTTACCCAATTCGTCTAGCAGCACTAGTGAATGTTCCGTGGCGTGCTTCACGATGGCTGCGGTCTCGTTCATCTCCAGCAGGAAGGTGGACTGCCCCGATAGGATGTCGTCTGAGGCACCCAGCCGCGTGAAGATGCGGTCCACTACACTCAGACTGCACTCCTCAGCTAACACGTAGCTGCCCTGTAACACATAAACTAAAATGTACTGTCATCTTTTATTGGTTAAAAAATAACTTAATAATACACCATAAGTGTATGGTTTATACATGTATAGGTGGTCCCTACGGTGGGTCGGCACAGTATGTACAATTATTCCATACATCTATCAGCCGTGATACCTGAATACGCTCCTTAAGCATACCCTCTTTGACACAATCCATTCATACTTTCTTCGATCTTCCTCTACTTCAAATTGTTGCTTATCGGACCTCTTGGTGTTAGGGATGTACGCTATCAAGGAGGTAAAATTGGCCACTAATATGTTATGCAAACACCAAGGTGGTCAACTACGCGCAGACATCCGCAACACCAATTACAGACCTTCAAGAATATGGTAGGCGAAGAAACCTAAGTTGCACTGAGGAAATGCTTACAAAATATTAGTTTTCCCTACTGCAGCAGTCACTTACGAGATGTGCCAGGACAGTGAGCAGGCCGACTTGCCGCATGAGCGTGGACTTGCCGCCCATGTTGGGGCCCGTCAGCAGCAGCAGGCTGCGGCCCGCGCACAGACACGTGTCGTTGGGGATGAACTCCTCCACGATAGGAATGCATGGATGACGACCTTCTACTATCTTGATGTATGGCTGGAATATAGAAAATTAAATCTTACTAATAGGATAAATGCGAAAGTTTACATGGATGGATGTTTGTTAGAGTTTTAGCCTAAACTGTTGAACGGATCTCGATTAAATTTGGCATAGACGTCGAGGATAGTTTGGAAGAACACATAGGCTACTTGCTTTTGTATTTTTTTAATTCCACGCGGACGGAGTCCCGTGCCAAAACTATTATACACATGTACAGCTTACTTCATTTATCCCTTATTAGCTTTTGCCCGCGACGCCGTCGACGGGGGATTAAAAAAAAAAACAAAAGCTTATGTGTTCTTCCAGACTGTTCTCTACATCTATACAAAATTTCATCGAAATCGGTAGCTGTTTAGGCCACAAACTTTAACAAACATCCATCCATCTAAACATTCACATTTATAATATTATCCCTTATTATGGTAAAGAAAATCCCTTACCGTAGTATTACTATCATACGTGACGTCAGGCAGGCAAATATTGCCCGGCTGCAGTCGTGCAAACTCCGCGAGAGACAGCAGCACGTCTACCATCGCCAGGCAGTTGACAGCGCCCTCCCACTGCGTATAGTGAGATGAGAACTTCTCCAATATCCTCCGGCTGAGGTCCCGTAATATAACAGATTTCTGATCCTCGGCGGATATCATACGTGCGAGAAAGTTCTGGAACATTCATACACATAGTTCAATTAAATTCTCTTAACTCATGGCGTTTTTTATTTTTTTTAATGCTAATTTGCACCAAAAGTTGTACAGCGCCATCTATTGAGCGTCATTTATAATGTTGGTTCCTAAACTCTCGCTAGATGGCTCTCATTACAATTTTATAATAACATAGTCTTACAATATCGGAATAAAACCAACTAAAACCGCAATTCTCTTCACCAATGATAAAACAAAATTATATCAGAATAGTACCTTAGTCTCAGCAGTAGAAAACCTCTTGAATCCTTTCCTAGCGCCCTCTAGATGATATTCGGAGCCCGCTTTAGCCGCGCTGTTCTGCGGCACTTCCAACTGGTAACGTTTTTTATCTGTGCCTACGTAACTCAACTGAAATACAATAATTATATTTACTTTAAAAAACATGTCTGAAAAATCTTTTAAATTAATTAGTTAGTAAACTCACTCGACATTTAAAGTATTTCTCCTGTTCAACAAGATATTCTTTTAGTTCATCTTGTATTTGTTGTATCTCAGCTAATGCGGCATCGTATTCCTGGTCTACGCCACGTCCTGGCAATATACGACCTTCCTTTTCCGCTTCTTGCTGGTTAAATGCTTCCTATAAAATAGAAAATAAAAATATAAATAAACTAAAATCTATTTTAGCCAAGAAAAAAAAAGTGACTACGTAAGAAACAGCGAAACGATAGAAAAAAGTAATTTCTATTTAAAAAATAAAAATAGCTTTAGCGACATCTATGACATGTATTTGAAACTTCAACTTACACATTTGCTTTACTGCTTTATAGATGGCGCTAATATTGACCTACCTTGAAAAACTTTAACGTTTCCCTGTAATCCGGAAACTTGCCGTGTGGCGCGAACTGTGTCAATTTCTTCAACAAATCCGATTCGACGTCAGAAAATAGATCATTTAATTTCAATCCCGCAGTAAATCCTTGCAGTACTGAGATAAAGTCTAATACTTTACGCTTCGAGTATGTTCTCTCTTCGTAGAAAATAGCACGAGCATCGGGATGGTTCTGTGACCGCTTTAGGTTCCCCAAAGCGTGCACTCTGTGATAACAATTTTTAAGACAAATTATACCATATCTAGTAATAAATATAGTCTATGTTATTCAGTGATAATGCAGCTTTCTAATGGTGAAAAAAAAATCTAATCAATGTCATACTTTTTGAGTTTACTTGTTACATACAAAACAGAATTCATAATGTTAGTATAGAAAAGTACTTATATACTGTGGATTTCCACTGCCATAATAAGATTACAAAAATATATTTTATCTCTGCTTTAACATTTTTATCAAAATATTGCTATCTCTTTCACTCCCTATGTAGAAGACAGGGACAGCAATAATGTCAAAACTAATAAATTTTCTATATGGATTGGATAGTGGAAACTGAAAAAGTAAGTCCGTTTTGAACTTTTTTAACCTAAGTGTTTATACTTTTTACTTACTTGGCTAACAGTCTTTCTAAATCAGGTAATGTGGTAAGGATGTTCTTCGCATCTTGACAAAGCTCTTGGTTCTCAAATAATGTCTTAACAGCTTGTTGGCGTTGTTTGATCACATCTAAACTACAGCTGGGTGAGCACACCCATTGGTATAGCAATCTGAAATTATATAGTAAAATAAAAAAAAATCGACACTACACTTTAAAATTAGTTGAAATGCTCAAGTAGCCTTAAATTATATAAAAACATATGTTAATTTAGAAAATGTATGTTATATATTCGATATATAATAACAGTGTTAGTGCCCGCTTTAACATCTTAACACTGCAGGGCCGGCACGCCCGGTGTAATACCACGACCACACAGAAGACAGGCGTGAAATGGAAGCAATTCCGTGTTTCGTCTGATGAGTGTGGTGCCGGAGGCCTAATTTAAGTCCCTTTCTCTTTACCACTCTTTTCTTATAACGAAAGGATGAGAAGGGGAAGTGGATTAGACGGTGGAGATGCATAGGAAGGGGAAATATCTTTTTTATCTGCGTCTCCTGCGTCTGTGGGATAAGGGTAGGCAACGCATCTGCGATTGCGGATGTCTATGGGCAGCGGTCGCTTCGCCATTTTGGTGGATTCAGGTGGCCGCTTGTTCATTTGCCACCTCATGTTATAAAAAAATTAACCTCAATTTTATGCATATTAACAAATAAAATACAGGATGATTTAGTGTTTAGAAATATAAATTAAGTACAATTAGTAAGGACAATAATGACAATAAAAATCATACATACCTTTTACCCATAGCAGTGGAGCAGAAATTCAATTTATCGTACAAACATCCTTCATCATTAACAATTCTTAGATTCTTCAGTGTTATTGCATCTAATACCATAGTGTTGCCACCAGGCCATTGATTCTGAACCTTATTCTCTGGTGTTAAGGTCGTGTTCAAAATGTCAGGTGGACAGTATTCACTGAATTGTGCCATGTCTAGTATTTGTATGTCGATTAAGCATTGATCTAGGTAAGCTACACAGCCGCCTAGAGCTTTAATAGCTAAATAACATTCGGTAGCTGGAGTTAGACCTAAAGCGTCACCTGAAAAAGGAATAATTTTGTGTTAAGAACTGGAAATTATAATCTTCTCTATTTGAAATATTAGTTAATATAATAAATGCGAAAGTTTAGATGGATGTTTGTTAGAGTTTGTAGTCTAAATGGCTAGACAGATCTCGATGAAATTTGACAGAGACATAGACAATAGTGTAAAAGAACACACATAGACTACTCACTTTGTTTTTTTTTATTTCACGCGGATGGATTCGCAGGCTAAAGCTAGTGCTGCAAAAATTTAGTAATATAAATGCGAAAGTTTACATGGATGGATGTTTGTTACAGTTTGTAGCTTAAACTGTTGAACGGATGTAGATGAAATTTGGCATAGATGTAGGGAGTAGTCTGGAGGAAAACATAGGCTATTTACTTTTGTTTTTTTCTTTAAATACGCGCGGACGGTATTGCGTGATTTTTCCTGCAATTTAAAATTTACCAAAGCAATGTCTCAATGTTGAAATCTTATATTAAATCTATAGTAATTAACAAGTCCTTTAGATACTAATAACTTTATTTCCTTATATATATTTATTTACCTTCATGTAAGAATTTCTTCAGACCTTCAGGCCAGTGTCCATCAGCATTTGTTCTGTAGTATTTCTCTGAGAGAGTTTTTAGAGTTTTATCAGGTGACCACAAGGACAATGGTTCTCTGCGAGCGCTGTGACAATGTGTTGATAGTAACTTCACTGTCCGAAGTGTTGTATGTTTGCGGTCGTACACTAACTGTTAAAAAAAAGAAATAATTAAAACAGGTACTAGCAATATATAAATACTGGCTTTCGCCCGCGACTCCATCCGCGTTAAATTAAAAAAAAAAAACAAAACTCAGTAGCCTATGTGTTCTTCCAGACTATCCTCTATGTCTATGCCAAATTTCATTGAAATCCATTCAGCAGTTTAGGCTACAAACTCTAACAAACATCCATCCATTTAAACTTTCGCATTTATGTTACTTACAAACTCTAACAAACAGCATCCATCCATCCATCCATCTAAAATATCGCATTTACAATATTAGTAAGATTTATAGACTTCAAGTATAGTTATCATTAAATTTCATAATTCTAGGTGATTAAAACATAATTAGTATAGAGTCAAGGCTTGGTGGTTCATCTTTTAATATACTAGCCGTTTTTCGCGATTTCGTCGGCGTCAAATTAAAAATAAAAAAAACCTATATTACTCACAGATAAATTACCTATTCTATGGTGAAAGAATTTTTCAAATCGGCCAGTATTGTATATAAATACAAAAATACAAACCATTCATTTTTATAATATAGATAAAAAAGAACTTCGAGCTGATGCGTTAAAGAGACATTCCTCCTAAAATGACGTTTGCTTACAAAGTTTTAATAAAGTATATATGTGATACCAGTGCTGGCGGGAAGTGGGCCAGCGTGGTGAGCAGGCGGGAGCTGTGCTTGTCGTCACAGAACTGGCCGAGCTGAAACTGTCCTATCGACGTGTCCACGAAACACACGCCGTACGTACTGCAGCCGTTCAACTCCTGCAAGTTATAAAAAAAAAAACATTTAAATACAGTATGTTCCATAAGAATTGATACAGTTGTATTTTTTTACAATATCTTAACTGGCACTTTTCTATAATCAAACCTGATTTTGAAGCCGAAACAAATCATACTAATATCATTAATGCGAAAGATTAGATGGACGGATGTTTGTTAGAGTTTGTAGCCTAAACTATTGAACGGATCTCAATGAAATTTAGCATAGACATAGAGGATAGTCTGGAAGAACACATAGGCTACTCACTTTTGTTTTTTTTCTTTAATTCTACGCGAGCGAAGTCGCGGATAAAAGCTAGTGGTGTACTAATTACAAAAGTAATTTTAAAGTTAAACCAGCTTTTTGCATCATATAACCCTGTTTTAGAAAGTTAAGTGTATATTTAAGTTTTGTTAGAACTTCATTTTATCCGGCCTTTCAAGGGCCAAGTAAGATTTGCCAAATATTACAAAGACCTGGCTTTGCCCGCGACTCCATCTGCGTAGAATTAAAAAGAAAAAAAGTAGCATATGTGTTATTCCAACCTTGCTCTACAAGTATGCCAAATTTAATTGAGATTCGTTTAACAGTTTAGGCTACACACTTTAACCTACGAATCTTATTTTTATAAATTCGAAAACTTTAATATTGGTTACCTAAACTGTTGCAGATTTCAATGAAATTTGGCATAGATGTAGAGCGTCTAGAAGAACAGGTAGGCTACTTATCGTTTTTTGTATTCCACGCGGACAGTCATGGGCAAAAGCTAGTTTAACCAGTAAACAATTAGAGAAAGCAATTCCGTTGACCTCCTCAGCGATGGCCATCATGTAGAGGGCGGCGGCGCTGGCGGGCGCGGCGTCCTGCAGCCCGCACACCTGCGCGCCGCGCACGCTCACCTGGCACACCTCGCGCCGCACCACCTTGTCGCTTTTACTCGTTTGACCCACTGAAAATAACATTTTGACAAATATATCCTATACTAGCTGTTGCTAGCGACTTCGTCCGCGTGAAATTCAACAGTGGTCGAGCCCGCTTTAATATCTTCGCACGAATGGGTCGGCTCGCCAGTTGTAATACCACGACCACACAGAAAACAGGTGTGAAGTGGGAACAATTCCGCATACAGTCTGATGATTGTGTTGGTGCCGGAGCCCTAATTTAAGACCCTTTCCCTTTCCAACCTTTTCTTAAGAAAGGATGGGAAGGAAAGGCATAGGAAGGGGAAATATCCTGTTTATGTGCGTCTCCTCCTCCGTCCATTACGATAGACAACGCATCTGGATTGGTGGATATTTATGGGCAGCGGTCGTAAATACTTACGCTTCTTGCACCTCTCTTGCATCATCTCTGGAGTCTCAGTTTGTTCGACTCTCGCCACCTTGTACCCCTTCGACACTAACGTAGACGCCATACGACCGTACGCACTCTCCGGGAATCCAGAATGAGCAAATTGACCCTAAAACGTTATTATATGAATTATTTAAAAGTTTTAGGAACATTTAAAAGGGGACTTTTATTCAGTACAGTACAAAAATTGCCTAAATTAGTTTACATTAACTATCTTCCTTTGAAATTCCCGACAAAATCGGTCTAGTTGTCTCGAAGATTACAAACACAGATTTGAGGACAGACAATTATTTTTAATTGGTCCTTCATTGTAAGCAACACAAATACATCAATTAAAACAATCCCTATATATCTTACTAATATTATAAATGCGATTATTTAGATGGATGGATGTTTTTTAGAGTTTGTATCCTAAACGGCTAAACGGTTTTCGATGAAATTTGGTACAGATGTGGAGGATAGTCTGGAAGAACACATAAGCTACTCACTTTTGTTTTTTTTTTTACCACGCTGACGGAGTCGCGGGCGAAAGCTAGTTTTTTTTATAAAGGGTAAAATATTATAGGATTTTGAAATAATTACTAACATTGTTTTATGGCTGAAATAATTTCCACTGTTAAAATACTTGTATTGTTACAATTTGTAAAGAAAATATGTTTCTCTTGGTTGTTTAGTTGTATGAAGAAAAATGTATGTATTTTTACCTTCATGTATGAGAAGCCGAGTTCATTGACCCCAACCGTTGCATCCATATGATAGAGCTCATAGAATTTGCCCACTTTGAAGAATAAAACACAGTCAAAGTGAGCAGACTTCATGTCCCACCATTGTTTGTGTCCCTGAAATATACAAATTTCATTTAAATTATACTAACTGTAGCTCGCGACTTCGCCCGCGTGAAAATAAAAATAATAAAAAACATAGACTCTGTTACTCAGCGATAACATAGCTATTTAATGGTGAAAAAACTTTTGAAATGGGCCTGGTTGTTTATGACTCTTTTCAATACATACAAAAAACCAAAAATAGAAAGTTTTCCTCTTTAAAATATTAGAGAAATCTATATCTATACTTATATAATAAAAAGGAAAGATTTGTATTTTTGTATATAAATAACTCAACAACTACTGGGCCGATTTTAACAAATTTTTCACCGTTAGAAAGGTAATTTATCTGTGAGTAATATAGGCTACATTTTTTATTATTTTATAATTTCACGCGGGAGAAGTCGCGAGCAACAGCTGGTAAGAAATAAAAGTCAATCTACAAAGGTAAGGCAGTTAAAGAATTTTTCGTTAAATACCCCTAACCAATTCTTATACACTACTAACTTATGTCCATGAGTTGGTATATGTGAAATTAAAACTAAATGTAGTCTGCCAGCATCTTTCTAAGCTATGTTCTATATCTAGGCCAAATTTTAAAAAAATGTATTTTTACACATATTTGATTCATATAAAAACTACTGAGCCAATTTTAAAAATTCTTTCACCGTTAAAAAGGTAATTTATCTTTTACTAGCATAAGCCATATTTTTTATTATTTTCTAATTTCAGCAACAGCTAGTTGTATATATTTTTGATTTTGTAACAGTTTCTAAACTTTGTTCTAATATAAATATTACTTACTGGTGTTTGAGTTTTGTAAAACTCTGGTGGTACATATAACGTCGTGGGATCATAATTAGGGTGGTCAGGTCGCCTCTTGTTGGCATCTCTGATATTCTCAGGTTTAAGCCAGTCTAATTTGCAATGTACCCAGTCGCCATCTTCAGCTGCAGCTAGTTCTTGTTCAATTGGTTTCGCTTGCACCTTTGATTTGCTGATAAATTATTATTACAGGTTTTAAATAAACTTTACTATATTACAATTTCTACAATGAGTGAATTGTTTGCACATAGACTAACATGGGCACCTAGAGTATGCTTACTAGAGAATTGATTAAATATAAAATAGCAATATAAACATGCTTAAAATTTCCGTAGATCTTAAAAACCTATTTATAAATTCTCATTAATTTTATTAATATTATGAATGCCAAAGTTTAGACGGATGGATGTATGTTAGAGTTAGTAGCCTAAACTGCTGAGCGGATTTTAATAAAATTTGGCAAAGATGTAGAGGATAGTCTGGAATAACACATAGGCTGCTTGCTTTTGCTTGCTGCCCTGTGTAAAAGGTTTAAATCAATATTATAACAATAAAATGTATTAAGGCACTCTTACCTAATAATAGAAGCTTTTTCTTTGCTATTCTTGGGTGATTCATTTGGATCATATTTAAAACTGTCCTGCAGTCTCTTTTGTAATGTATCTTTTGTTTTAGATGGAGATTGAACCTCTGTAAATAAACTAAACTTAGAATGGCATACATCTTTCCTAATACAATAGAACCTCAGTAACATAAAAACCTCTATAAATTTAAAAAAATAATGTGTTCCCTTCACATCAGAGCTCAAAACCTTTATAACATAGACCTTTGATAACTTAAAGTATTTTGTGCTTCCCTTGGACTTTAACTTATCGAGGTTCTACTGTATCTCAATTGCTTAATTAATAATAATCTCAATTGCTTAATTGCAGTGTTGAGCCTCCCCTACATCCCTTATAACACCTAAAATTGTGTTCTGGGCAACAAATGTAATAATCCGAGCAACTGAGATAAATGACTCTCAATAGAAATGTGATTGTTACACTTACACTCTATAAGATAAATAATTTTACTTGAATGTCCGAAGACATAAGTATCTAAGTTTGAGGTTGTAAGGTAACAAATGTATTTACCTTTGTTTTCCGCATCAGAATCATCTGAATCTACGGGATTAAGACGTATCCTTTTTCTCTTTTTAGACGAAATTGGAATATCTTCATCACTGTCAGCCAAAGTTTTGTTAACATCAGGGGATGGCGTCGGTTGTCTTTCACGTTTATTACCTATTGTAAATATAATTATGACAAATTACCATCTTGTTGTTTACTCAACTGTATGAAATGTAAAGGATATATACTTACTTTCAACTTTTGATGATTTTGGACTGTCCAAGTTCGATATGGGAGAATCGTTCTTGGAATCATTACTCGGTTTTAACTTCTTATTGCTAGGCGGCGTTCTAGTAAAGTAATTAAACAGAGTGTTTCCTATACTATTACGCTTGGACATGTTCGAAAAGTATTTTTTGGAAGCAATAATAAAAATTAAAAACAAACCCGCAACCCGAAACCAAAATCGTTTTGGCGCAAATTATTTTAATTTTGAAGTTGACATATGTCAAATTTAAAATTTGCTATAAACTTGCCAGAAACGTGAGATTTGTCTGATGAATTGGTATGCTCCAGAGTGTATAATTACTTCGTAGTCCTTGGTACCCTTTTTACGTACCAAAACTTCAACGATTTTTTTAAAGTAAATAACAGATATATAATTTCGCAATGGCTTTTCTCTTAGTATTCACAATGTCCTATCTTCGCTTCCTCCAAAAGTTACTTTTAAATGGTTTATTCTTAAATTATTTAAACTTTCGTGAGACATTTTATAATTAATTATTTACGGCTTACTCACGTATGCTTTTGTTTTTCCGGTGACGGCACCGACCAGTTTCAGACCCTGCGGGGGTCCTTCTTCAGGGCGAGAGTTAAGTATGTGTCGCGTTCGCGTCGCGCCTCGCACTGCGGGCCAGCGCTCGAAGGGCGCGGCTTGAGGGGGCGGGGGGCACCGGGGGTGCAGTTGCCATTGCGTGCGCCGGCGGCGACGATGTCTTATTTGATTTTTTATTCGATGGTTTATTCTTGTCGAATTTACCATGCAGCACAAGATAGTTTTAAAATAGGAAATTAATACTAGATACAATAAAAACCTTCTTGTTTTATAATACTATATTGTTAACACAGAGCGTTACTATAGTTTGTATGTAAATAATTTAAATTGTTAAGATGAAATAAAAACAAAAGTAAAACAAAAAATATATTTAACTCTAAAACATACTCATTAAATTAAAAACATAATTTATTTGTGTTAATACATAAAAATTGTACAGCTTATAACTACGATTTAGAGAGGATCTCGTTCATCGCCAACTCAATCTTGAGTTGTACGCAAGCGACCCTCTCTTGGAATATTTGGTTCACCAAACTCAGTCTCTTCTGTTCTAACATCGCGTTCTCTTTTATCAGCTTCTGTCGTAACTCTTGTTCTTCTGCCGTGTAACTCTCTTTTGTTTCTTTATTCGTCTGCACGTTACCTTCTTGTTTATTCTTTATAGCTACGTGACTTCTTAGTTTCACTATTTCAAATTGTTCTGAATTAATTTTTGCCTGTAAAAGAGATTTTAATTGCAGATATTCGGCATTTTCTAACTCCAGTCTTAATACTTTTAACTCTTTCTCTGTAAGTTTGGGTTTCTCTTTCACTGGTTCTGCTGGTGGTTGTGGTTGTGGTTGTGGTTCTTCTTCTGGCGTTTCTTTGATTTCAGTCGTTTGGAAATTGAAATTATCCTCGAATTCAACAGGGAATGTATGATCAGGTACGTTTGGAGATTCTTTTATGTCTTGGAAAGCGTCAGTAGAAGGTGTTTTAATAGTTTCGATGTCTGCTTGAGTGATAGTCTCGTTTGTCTGTGTGTCCTTTAAAGGCTCTTCTTCAGGAGGTTTGTCTTCAACTGAAGGTTGCTGCGGTAACGCGTTCGGTTCCACTGATTTCTGAACTGATCGAAGTTTCCTCTGAAATAAATAAATAATTTGAAAAACGACGGATTATGGAAAAATTAACTTATCTACGGACAAGAACAGAACAAAATGCCTAGTGGACTTAATTTAATAGTTATTAGGAGTTCTAAGGGAGTTCCTTAATGTAGTTTTCTAATAGTAAATCGACACCAAGGGAAACAACTTAAGAACTGAGAGTGGCTATGTACCTTCTGAGTACGCAAGTAGCCCATACTGAATAAGTGTGTACCTACAGAATATGTACTGAATTCGTACAAAAAACGCACTGAGTACGATCTTTGTACTAATTGAGCACATGCTGAGTACAAACTGTGTACCAACTAAGTGCGTACTGAATACCTACTAAAAACGTACTGAGTGGTTAAATTTAATAGACCAAGAGATGGCGCTGTTTTTTGTTGTATTAGGTTTTTATTAAATGAAATTATTGTAAGACTGCAACCATTATTAAATATTATTATTTTATATAAGAAGCTGTGGTAAAATTGTAATTTATTACAAATGTAACAATATATGTATATTACTGGCTGCATAGACATTTTATGGAATAAATAAGGAAGAAAAAGGGTAACGGACAAAAAGAGCAGAGAATGTCAAGATGAAAAAAAATGACGTCAAGAATTTTTGTTATGTTGTAAAATTAATTTAAGTAAAAATAAAGAAAGAATTTACAAGAAAAACGATGTAAGTTTATTGAGAAAACACTGAGTACGAACTGAGTGCGTACTGGCTAAGTACGGATTAATGATATAACAAGTGTGTATGAACTGTACCTACTGTGTACTAGTACGAATTGTGTACCAACTGAGTTAGTACTGAGTATTATTTATGAATTGTTTTAGCAGTTAATATGTGACCTTGAGCTGCGTGACGATCCTCTGCGCCTCCCAGAGGCGCTGGTCGCGCGCGGGCGTGATGAAGCCGGCGTGCATCTCCGCGTGGATCTGGCTCAGCAGCGACTCCTGCTTGCGCAGCTCGCGCCGCATCGCCGCGCCGCACTCCGGGAACTCCGCCCCCATCGACAGCAATGGGGGCACGTATCTGGAAATGAATCGTTTACTAAAACAACTGTACTACAGCCACTGGACATTCATTTCACGCGATATTAAATTTATTGCCGGTTCATACATTTTTACCAGCTTATAAACAGTTTTAGACGTTTAGGCTACAGGCAGTGAAATACAAATACTACCGAGTTAGTAGGGAGTCCAGATAAGATGCATCATCTATATGTAATATAGCTTTTGCTCGCAACTCCGTTCGCTCGAAATAACAAAAAAAGAAACATTGTTAAATTATGTGTTCTTCAAGACTATATTGCCTATGCCTAATTTCATCGAGATCCATTGAGCTGATTTGGTCTTCTAACAAACATCCATCCATTTAAACTTTCCCGTTAAAACATTAGTAAGAAGTAAGATTAGACGCCATTTCCCAATTTATTAATTTAAGTTAAAGTAGCTTACTTCTCTAGGCTGACATTAGGGAAGAGTTTGTCCGCCTTAGTGATAAGATACGTGAGCAGGTTCTGAGACATGTTGAGCGCCGGGCCCATGAAGTTCGTGATCGTTTGAATGTTCGCTTGATTTACCTGCAAAAATAATAAAATATTCTTTGACTAAAGAAAAAACTGTACATAAGAAAATTTTTAATTATTGATTTTAACAACATACACTGCAACTGCATTTTAAATTATGTTCTATTCCACTCGTATTGTGTTCCGACCACCAAGAATTTTGAAAAGTGCAATACACATTCAAAAACAATTTTATTAGTAATCAAAGAGATTAAAATATAAATAGAGGATGTATAATTGACATTTCACTTGAGATATTTTTTATATGACCATCACTATAGCTGACTTTTGACAGTCTAAAAACCACTTGTCAATTAATTATGTGCAAAAGTAAAATGTTTAAATATTCTTATTTTCATTTTTGAACACTGTTTACTTTATTTTTGTAAAAGTTGGGTCTTATTATAATTTTGTAAAATGTTTTATTATATGACAATACAAGAGAGAGAGAATATCGATGAGAGAGTTTGCTCACTATACCTAGTCTATGTTTTTTTTATATTTTTGATAGTATCAGTCAAATTAGGTGTCAGATTACCTGTTCATTGGCAACAACATGTGCGAAGTGCGTCATGAGCCAGGCGAGCAGGTTGTGGTTGTAGGCGGGCAGTTTGCCGACCAGCGCCAGCAGCGCCGCCTCGCGCTGCGGCTCCGCCATCGCCGTCGCCTGCTCGAACTGACCGTGCAGCTCTTGTGTTAGAATTGAATCTGGCAACTCGCTGCAGAACGAACTTTTCATTAGTACAGTATACTATTAAAGTACAGTATACTTTTGCTGTACTGTACTTTAGTACATTACAGTATACGTTTGTTGTTCTCTGCAATAGTACAGTATAGTATACTGTTGCTGTAATCTACTATAGAACAGTACAGTGTACTGTTGCTATACTGTACTACAACAGAGTACACTATACTTTTGCTGTTATTCACTATAGTACAGTACAGTATATTGTTGCTGTACTCTACGATAGTACATTATAGTACAGTATTATATTATCTGTACTTTATACTAAGTGTTAAAGTTAACGGTAAATGCGTTAATAAATCGCTTGTCACAGTACTACTACGCCTTACAATTGATGTGGTCGAATGCGTAACTTTTAAAGTTTGGTAAATAAAGGGAATTCTGAATAGAATAACATTTAAAATTAACAATTTACAACGAAGTGCAATATCTATCTTAATGCAAGTAATAATTATAATTGTATACACGATTGGTTTTTCAAGAAACCTACACAACCGCCCACAGATAACTTTATAAGACGCAATAAAACTTGTTTAAGATTTATGCATTTACCTATTAAGTGTATAACGCGACATAACTTATTAACTTTACTATATTTTTATACCGCAAGATGACTAAACTAAATAACTACTGTCAATTTAAGCTTTAATAGAAAGTGTTGCTATTAGTTCTTAAAACATTTTGGTAATGTTAAAAAAAAAAACATTTATATAAATTCCATTTTTGAAACCTGTACACAATATTGCTATCTCTGTATTTCCTATGCGAATGATAGAGATGAAAAATGCATTTGTATAGACTTGGATACTTTTTTTTTGACATTCGAGGTTAGTCTGGCGTTACCTGATGAAGGCTTTAAGCATAGCGCAGGCGACAGGAACGTCCCAATGGTAAGGGAATGTTGGCCCGCGGTCTGTGAACAGCCGCCGCAGCTGCTGCAGTTTGATCTTGTCCGGATCAGCGCGGTAGATCTGATTCGATTTCAGACCATGCGCCTATACACATAAGGTCCAAATTAATTTGGTGTCATATTCTACTGGACATAGTCGAACAACAATATTTATAAACAAATTGAGACTACATTTTCATACACAAAAGGTCGAAATTATTTATTGTCATTTTCAACTAGACAGTCTCCCAACAATAAATGGTTACTAATTCTATCTTTAGTATGTAATTCTACTTAGTATTAGAATTGCATGCTAAGGGATTGCAAAAGATACTATAAAACGATTCTAAGTGTGAGTGTAAGGTTCTTCTCAACAAACCTGATATATTAGAATTTAAAAATTATTTTAACTATCAAATGGTAACTACGAATAAACCTTTCAGTTTACGACTTGTTTATGATACATTTAATTTTACGTTAAAATACAGAGTTTCTAAAAATAATTCCTACGTAATAAAATGTTTTATTGTAAACAAAATCATTTGCTTGTAAAATATTTATATGAGAGTTCTAACGAAATTCAATATTTTTAAGTAATGTACAGTCTACTTAATAACCTCAGTTAAAAATAAGCCAAATCCAACAGAGTCTTATCTCATAATTATACATTTTAATTAGTTTTCTATAAGAAATATTTTACCTGTAGAAAGTCAATGCTGTCTCTAACCACTAAGGGCAGCAGTGTGTCATCGTGGCATCTGGAACGTTCCACGGACTGCTGAAGCGGCACCCCAAATATAGGCAGCGCGACTGAAATTTAATAACTAATTTGTATTCAAAAAATTAAAAATCTTACAAACATTATAAATGTGAAAGTTTATGTAGATGGATGTTAGAGTTTGCAGTCTAAACGACTGAACGGATCTCGATGAAATTTGGTGTAGATGTATAACATAGTCTAGATTCTGGAAGAACACTTAGGATATTTTTGTTATCGTTTTTTACTACACGGACGGAGTCACGAGTGAAAGCTAGTCATACTGCATACTAATATGATAAATGCGAAAGTTTAGATGGATGGATGTTTGTTAGAGTTTGTTGCCTAAACGACTGAACGGATCTCGATGAAATTTGGTATAGATGTAAAGCATAGTCTGGAAGAACAAAGGCTACATCCTTTTTTTTACTTCCACGCGGACGGAGTCCGGGCGTAAGCTAGTAGTCTATATTAGTAATTTTGCGCCGACACCCTACTAATCTAAATAAAAAATATGACATAACATTTTTAGGATTGTTTTGTACAGAAATCGGACCGGTTACTAAATCAAAAATTAATTCTAATACGGGATAAATTCTGCTTTCAATTATTATTTAATTTTCGTATCTTATATTTTACGCTTCGCTTCGGTTAGTTCGCTGTTGTGTGATATAGACCTTAAGCACTTTCTTTGAACATTAGTAATCCTTAGGTTACAATCTGAATTAAACACGTCAGAATGACGAGCGTAAACAAGAATGATACTGCATACCTAAATAATGGATATCTTATTGTTCTGTCATGTCATTATGTACGCTTTATGTATTTCTTTAATCTGTTACTAAACTTACGTATTTAAGATAAATGTGTCTTTTTAATCAATTACATTATCGACTTTTTTGTTTATTTTGTCGACATTTCGAAATTGGGGTTTAAATTTATTTGAAATATCTTTTAAAATCTAAACTAATATGTAATCCTGTTACTTTCACAAGTTAATTAGCATATTTTAAGATGATATTTAAGCAAAAATTCGAGAAAGTGATGTGAACATCAACATAATGTTATTATTCAAGATTGTTTACTTTCGCTTGTAGGTAGATAACCGTTACGAATTTGGCAAAGTCTACTGCAAGTTGTATTTTTGAATTAAGAAGTATAACGATTGTTATAAACTTACCATCAATATGAAATCCATTTATAAAAGGATTCATTTTCACTTTTTAATTAATAAACAGAACACAGTGACATGCAGCGTTACGTTACGAAACCATTGTGTTATCTGTTTGTATCGCCTTGAACTGGCGATGTTTTATTTTGTGGACGCATAGATAAAATACTTGTTTTTTAATTGTTACAAAAATCGCGTCTTGGTAGATATTGCCAGCTACAATACCACTAAGGAATACTCATTAGAAAGTGAAGCATGGAAACCATCAGCATTATTCCCCAAAATCTGTTTAACAAATCAAAAACTCAAACAAAACATCATGAGTCTAAAAATTAAACAATCTCATTGCAAATGATAATGTAAACTTAAGATCATGGACTGGTTTAAAGTTCCTTAAAAGATGGACAAAGTAAAGTGATTTTTTTTTATTTCAAAGTCGTGGCTCCGCACAAGCATTTCATAAGCATGCCCTAACACAGACATGACAATGGCCTCCTTTACTGTAGTGCCTACGGCTTGTGTAAATTGCAGATGTCACTTTTGTATTTCCACTGCCACAACTTGTATAAAAACATTTTTGATGTGTCATTTTTTTAAACTTCAGATTTACATTTGGTTTTTTTTTTAAAACTTTTCTAAAGATTTACAAAGACATGGAAAATGGCTTGCGTTTGGCTATTACAATATTTTAACATATTCAAACTTCAAACGTATGCGTTTTGTTTATTTAATTCCTAGTTTATCTTTTAATTGACTGAAATGTTTCACTAGCGAATCTTGCTACCAACATAACTAAGATAATACGAAAACAACTGTCCTATATTTACGAGTTTTCTTCCCATGCTCGTTTGAAAAGCAAATCCGATACGCAGTTTATTCTATAACGAGCAAAAACAGACAATGTTTTATTTCACAACATCTGGCCTTCGCCTGAAAATTGTCTCAAAACATTTTAAAATTACAACCGATAGATGGCGTAAATAAACAAAACAAATTCAGTTTATTAGAGCGAAAACTCAGTTGATAATTAATGATCCGTGACCCAAAAAATATATAAGGGCTTGAACACACTAAATATCAAATAGCGGGTATTGGCGATTTTACAACAGACTTAATTTACTGCTTTTGCATTTTTAAAGTACGAAAATACTAATGTTTATACCAAAATATCTTAAAAATATGTTTATCCTTAACGAAAATACATGTTACAAAACATAAATACATTGGTGGCTTATAGTAATTAGTGTGTTAATTAACTTACCTCCTAAAGTAAAAATCTCTTCGAAAGGCACTCCCGAAGTCACCGTTGAGGGCACTTTAGTTAGCTTCTTATCTTTCTTGTCCTTATCTTTTTCCTTCACTTTCTCCTTTTCTTTCTCCTTCACCTTGTCTTTTTCTTTTTCCTTAACTTTATCTTTCTTATCATCTTTGAGTTTCTCTTTCGATTCTAATTTAAATTTTGCCTTTTCTTCTTTTTCCTGTTAAACAATATCAATAAATAGACGCGTCAACAATAACTTTAGGCACTAAAAAAATTGATTACTGGCCGTAAAGGAACGATAAAAATATAGTACAGATAAGAAATGTGTCTAAGATTATTAAAAACATTTATTGAAATAGACCGAGTTCACTTGTTTAAAAGTAGCACCTTCGTGAATACGCTGCGTAGGTGATGCATGTCTCAGATTCAAAAGGCAACTGAATGAGCGCTCTTTGTGTTGTTAGACCAAGGTCGCGGTTACTGGCTAACTTAGCGAATTTATGCATAAGACACGAGAGCCGGTGGACCGTGAAATTTTGATATACACGCAATACAAAATATATGACATAGAATGACATTCACGAACTCTAAATGACGTGTTTTCATTATTGGTGTTACAATTAAAAATGTCTCGTATTTTGTAAAAATCACGAACGTCCTTTAACGTTGGGGGTCCTTGACGTTTTTAACGTTGTAAATTTATCGTTGCAAATATGATATCTGCCTGCAGTTTTGTTACGTCTAATTTTCTAAGCCAGTAAAAACAATCTAGATACAAAATATAACAATTTAAAGTCGCACAAATTGATTCAGTGAATAAAACAGTTGCAGACAATGGCTTTTATAAATATTTTAATAATAACGTAATCATAAATCGTTCATAATTTATAAAACAATTTTCTATATGTGGTAATACATAATATGTCCAATGTATAGATGAAATTCTAATAGTAAGAAAGTGTTAAAGTGATTTAGCTATGATGGTTGAAAAAAAAACTATTTTTTCCTGTTATTTTTGAAAATAGCGCGCCTTACTTCGAAAATATCATATTGCGCGTCTCAATTCAAAAGGATTCTTCAACATTGTCATAAATAGGTCAACATGCTACGACAGGTAATTCCAGGGTGAATAATTGTTTATCCAACAATGTTAATCCTTGAGCAAAAACAACATAACTTTTGCAAAGTTTTTGAAAATACAATAGTTTGGAGATAAAATATTTTTCATTTGTTACAACTATTTTTATAGTATTATAGCTGTCGCCTGCAAACCCATCCGAGGAATAAAAAAATAGCTTATATGTCCTTTTAGTGTTATCTTTGCCAAATTTCAGATCCATTGGGATGTTTTGGAGATATATAACAACAACATTAATTCATCCAAACTTTCGTAATTTATAATATAACGTAGTATGAAGTATGATAAAATTGTTTAGTGATTGTTTGAAATACAATAAGAAACTTTTTGCCTAACCCTGAGTTCATTTTAGGCGATAATCGTGTTTTTTTTATGTATTCTTAACTTTAATCCAATAAACAATGGTATTCGGCAATGTGAACTTTGAAAGTAAATTTAATTAAAATAAGAACATATAAGAGGTTCAAGTACTGCATTGTCATGCTTAGGAATAGTAAAATTAATTAGAAATTGTATAATTACTACTTACTTTATCTTTTTCTTTTAATTTTTCTCGCTTTTCTTTCTCTTTCTTTTCTTTTTCGCGCTCCTTCTCTCTTTCTTTTTCCTTTTTCTTATCTTTTTCATTTGACTCTTTATGTTTGATTGTCTCTTCTACAGTTTTTTCTTTATCACGAGATTTCTCGCGTTTCTCTTTATTTTTGGAGGGAAACTTGAACGATTTAGTTTTCTTCGACTTTGATGGACTTCTGAAAGCAATTCTGTGATTTATATATCTTCTCATATGATAAATTTATTTACAATAAAGTGGAAATAATAAATTTTCTTGATGTTTATAAATACAGATTGTCTTTTATAATACAGAGTAGTATCCACAATGCTTGTATTTTTTTTAAATCTATGCTGTTTTAAGCATTCAAAGTAGTCTTGGGCTTAATCGGACATCTGCAAGTGCGCACCGTACTAGTACAATTGGGAAAACGTACTAGTACATACTTTTAGTACCTTTAGTACTTCAGATTTTTGAAAACACAATACATGAATAGAATATAACGGGGGTTATATATTACTTCACATCAAATTTTAAGCAGGGTCAAACATATGTTACTAGCGAAAATAAATTTAGTTGTGAATAATTGTATCCACTTATGATTCTCATTATCGAATGTGGATGCTTTAATCTGGCAAATATTCAATCAAATCAAACAACGAAGAGGCGAACACCGATATCGTGTAGTGTACTAAAAGTACCAAATGTCCGATTAACAGAAGCCGTTCGGTAACATTACTTTTAGTACAGTGCCTAAGACTAATTCAAAGGACAATTAGATAGCTCCTATGACATAATAATAATAATAGTATGATAACTACAAAAGTCTTATATTGTACTAGCTGTTCCTGTGCAACTTCATCAGCATGAAATTATGAAAATTTTATTTTATTGTTTACATTTGTCAAGTTATCAATTATAAAATGTCAAAATGGCATGACATGATGACAACCTTGCTTCCTTTATGATGGCAGCAACTTATGGTCTCTTTACCACATTAGCGTTTTTTTCCAAAATATTTACCCCCTAAGTTTAATGGTGTTCAAATATATTGCTGTAATTGCTGACATCTTAGGCAACAAAGAAGTGTGTGTTTATGCTTTACTTTTTTTTTATTTATTTCAATGAAAACAGTTTTACATAATTGTGTTAATAGTATAGATTGTCAATACTCACTTTGTATCTGTATCCTCTTCTGGTGAGCTTTCACCTTCTAAGGCAGCATATCCCCTATCTTTCTTTGATTCCTTTTTATCTTTACGTCTCCCTAGTAAATCTTTTTTGCTAGGCTTTTCATGATCTGCTCCATCACTAACTAAAATAATACCGAAAATCTATAAGATGCTCCATAGAAAAATTTTATTTTTGGAGCTTGTCTTAGTTATTCTTAGATTATCATACCAAAAGATTTATCATAAACTGTCTGGTACTTTAGAAACATATAATAAACCGATATATGGTAATTATTTTTATTCATTATAGTATGTAATAGAATATTTGTCGAAGGTATGTAGTATATGGTATGAACATTTTCATTCATCAACTTGCCTTTATCCCTAATGGAGAGATGGCACAGTATGTGCTGCTCTTCCATACATTTCTATCAATCGTCATATCTGAATCCACTCCCCTCTTAAGCATATCCTCTTAAGAAAGGAGTGGATCACACAATCCATCCATACTTTCTTCAGTCTTCCTCTACCTTTGTAGCCATCCACATTCAATATTAACACTTTTGGTATGGTATAAACATTTTCATTAACCAGATGAATCGTTAATTAATTGCTAATCTTTGTGCATGACGTAAAAATAAAGAATAATATTCTGCAGTACAGAGTGCTAGAACTTAGGTCTTATAGTTAATATGTCTTGCTGACACTGTACATAAAAAAGAGAGTTATTATCAGTAACTTCGGATAGAATGTATTTTATTCCGCAGTACACAATGCTAGAACTTATTTCTTATAGTAAGTGTCGTGATAACTCTACATAAAATTAAAATAATCTATTTTTCACTTACAGTCACTTTCATTACTTTTCCGCCCGGTTTCGGAGGCGTACAATCCAGGAAAGTCCTTTTCTACGTCGGGGCTTTCGAAGTCCATCTTGGCTTTCTTAGAACGATTAGATTATAATTAACTATAATACTGATGTCAAAACTAATGGCTACATAATAAAAATAAGCAATTGTGATGTCTTTATTTATGCTCTTATCAATTCTCAGCAAACGCAAATATCAAGAAAATATAACAAAATATTCTGACACTTTAAGACAATTGTTAATTGTCAATTGTCAATGTCAATAAAAACGATCGACGTAGATTAAAGGATTTCCTTTTAAAAACTTAGATATTTCTATTTAATTTACGTTCAATTATAAACCCTGTTATAGAATGTCAAGCTGTAATTAGGGCTGTAAAAAATGAAGCCAGGAATCTTGTAAAAGATTCAGAAAGCTTCGAAGCTAACACCTGTGACGTACGAAATTGTTTTTCTTTTGTAAACAAGTCTGTTTACGTTTACGTGTCAGTGTCAACTTTATGAATTTGTCAATGTCAAATAACCAAGAAAGAAAACAAATTTTTTGGAGTGATGATTTCAGTATTTTCCTAAATTATGCAAGAAAGTTTCCACAAATCTCAAATCACGTTTAATAACTTTTACACAGTAAGAACGGAAACATATCTCTATACCATTACTTAGAATCTTCACTGTTACATTACGATTTTTTTATAAACTTTCCTTTTAGGATCTAAACAAATATTTTCAATGTCATGGTTCACGGAACTCGCCGGCAAGGCAGAAACTCTCCTCAACAATATCGACGAACAGACTGGTGCAGCATTACGAAACCATAGTGCGATAAAAAATAAAAAATATGACCATGGGTCTCATAGTGAAAACTCCAGGAATCAGAATAGACGGCCACCACTTTGGGCGCCTAAAAAGATTCATTACGAAATGGATCGTTCTCCATCCCCTGTAAAAAAGAGAATAGTTATACCTAATGTGTATACAAGTGAAAATAAATCACAAGAACAAGTGAAAATGAAATCTCCTGTAAGAAAATCAAATTTGGTGAACTCGTCGCCTATTTCTCCTAGATTTTCTGGGATTGAAAACAAACCCATTGATTGGGCTGTGGATCAATTTGGAATACGAAGAAGAAGTAAGAATTTTTTCATAGAACTTTTAATCAAATTGTTTAAACAATCATGAGACAATATTAATAAATATTGATATGGCTAACACACATGTCTATTTTCTCATGGCCTGGAGCCGCTAATGGATAATAGAGGAGAGTGTCAGCTGTATTATAATAGTTTGAATATGTTAAAGCTTAAAACAAACTTAGGAAATAGTGATTTTGTTTTTTAAATTTTATGAAAACAAAGTAGATTGGCTTATCATTTGAATTCATCATTTTTAGGAAATACTTTTTCCGGTGATGTGAGCTCTTTGCACATGGATAATGTATATAAAGTGCAGAACCTGGAGGTGGAAAATGCAATGTTGAAAAATGAAATTAATGTTATGAACAGAGAACTATCTGACCTGATGGATAGATTACGGAAAACTGAAGATGGTTAGTAGTAATGTTAAAAAAGAAAGTACAGTTTTGTCTATACTTAAACTTATATAATAAAGCATAAGCAAACACTTTGTTATGTCAGCAATCACAACATAATTTTGAGAAATACATATTTAATAAATTTCTCTACACTTACATGCTATAGCTACATATATAATCACACTAATTTAAGGGATGTAGTTTAACATTAAAAAACTAAATCAATGAATCCCACAGAAAAAGTAACTATTCCCTGGATAAAAAGTAGCCTATGTGTTCTTCCAGACTATGCTCTACCCCTGTGTTAAATTTCACGGAGATCGGTTTCACCGTTTACCCTACAAACGCTAACAAACATCCATCCATCCATCGTTACTTTCGCATTTATAATATTTATGTGATTGTACATTCCAGATCTATGTCGTTACAAAAATTCACCAATCAATGAAGGCTTGGATGCTCGTAACTTGAAGGTAGATAATGAAATGCTAAGGTCACAGCTGGATCAATTAAAACAAAAGGTCGTAGATCTTAGTACTTCGGATGTTAAGAATAAAGAGCATAATCATGAACTAGAGGCAGAAGCAATTGAGCTTAGAAGTGGTAACCGACAACTGGAAGAGAAGTAAGTATTACTCAAATATGTTAAAGTGTCAATAGCCTAATAGTTAAAATAACCTATAGAAATCAGTTCATATAATATTGTTTATAGTTTAACTAGAATTATAAAAACCCTTGCCATATTGTAAAAAATATAAAAATTTCTTTCCATACATTAGAAAGTGATGTAATAAAGGAACCAATTATAGTGACCCAGGCTAGGGTTGTCATATTCTTGGTTGGGCTAGAATTGTCATAAAGAACAATATTATTGGTAAACACTTGACATAACATAAAGTGGTGAACGCTGGCTGCACAAAAAAGCATGGCACTATTACGTTCCTGAGTAGAATGTGCAAGCAAGAGCGCCAAACAAGCGTTTGAGAAGCATGATTAGCTTAAACATTTATTTTAACTGACTAAAATTGTCTTTAAAGATAGTCAATTTCTTTTTCTTTGTTGCCAGTTATATTCTGTTGGTCCCTTTAATGTAATAACTAGTAGTAATATGTAAATACAAGCTTTTGCCCGCGACTCCGTCAGCGTGGAATTAAAAAAAAAAAACAAAAGCGAGTAGCCTATGTGTTCTTCCAGACTATCCTCCACATCTATACCAAATTTCATCGAAATCCGTTCAGCCGTTTAGGCTACAAACTCTAACAAACATCCATCCATCCATCTAAACTTTCGCATTTATAATATTAGTAAGATTTGAAATTTTATGTTTTGGGTTACAGATACAAAATATTAAATGATGAATTAAATAAAAAGGAATCAGCCATATCTAAGGTGGAGGCAGAATTGAGACATGCGCAAAGTGTGATTAGTGAACAACAAGGTAGTCTAGAGAAATCAACATCCGAGTGCCGTAGGTTAGAGAAAGACTGGGAAAGTTATAAATTGAGAGTGAAGAGTATGCTTTTCTCTAAAGATGAAGAAATTAAGAAACTAAGAGAAGGTTCCAATCTGGCAGAAGATACAAAACAATTGATTGAACAGATGAAGGTTTTAAAGTGAGTATTATAAGCTACAAATAATAATGGAAAAAAAGCTTTGTTGTCTATTACATTGGCACAATACAGATACTACAGTGGAAGTAATAAATGAAATTCTAATTAGATGAAATACCTAATAGGTGTTTACATTTCTAAATAATTTTACTATTATTTATTACTAGTTTTCGGCCGCGACTCTGTCCGCGTGGAATTAAAAAAAAAACAAAACTAAGTAGCCTAGGTGTTCTTCCAGATTATCCTCTACATCCACACCTTATTTTATCAAAATCCGTTCAGCCGTTTAGGCTAAAAACTCTAACATACATCCATCTAAACTTTCGCATTAATAATATTAGTATGAAGTATGATTAAACAATAAAGTGCTACATGTTATTAATAATTAAATAAATAATGTAAAATTATAGTTTTTAATCCTCAGTGGTAATTTTGAAATAAACCCTGGTGATAATTTCCTCTTTCTTAATAAACATTAATATATTATAATTTGTGATATTTTAGGGAAGAACGGGACGATCTATCAGAACAGATATCAAAGGTGAAGGAAGAGAGTGAAAGGATAAAATCGTCAATGGGTGATATGGTATCCCGGAACTCTGCGGTGGAGAGGATTGTGATTGCATTACGAGATGCATTGAAGGAAGAACGGTCAGCGAGGACTCGGGCTGAAATGGAATCTGTTAGCCTGGGAAAGGTCAGTTTGTGTATACTATCTTTTGTAAGCATACTTCATACTAATATTATAAATGCGACAGGTTAGATGGATGGATGTTTGTTAGCGTTTGTAGGCTAAACGGCTGAACGGATTTCGATGAAATTTTGTAAAGATGTACAGGATAGTCTGGAAGAACACATAGGCTACTTACCTTTGTTTTTTTTAATTCCATGCGGATGGAGTCGCGGGCGAAAGTTAGTAATAAATATTAACATAACATATGTTACTTGGTGATAATGTAACTTTGTAATGCCAGAAGATTTTGAGTTTATTAGTTTCATATAAATAATAACTATTTCTCCTTCGTTATTTTAGATTGATTGTCAATGTGATGACAGTGTCATTTTTGTGTTTTAAATTTTTATATTAATTATCTATACTACGAGCTGTTGCCCGCGACTTCGTCCGCGTGGTATTAGAAAACATACGAACTACATAAATCGTACAATCATACATATCCCTCGGGAACCGGTCACGTCGGGGATGAAGCTTATCCCATGTATACTCCAGACTTTGTTTTACATCTGTGCCAAATTTCAATAAGATATGTTGAACCGTTGCAGAATGATCGAGTAAACATTAAAAAACTAAATTAATAAATCCCACGGGAACCGTAACTTATCCCGGGATTAAAAGTAGCCTATGTGTTCTTCCAGACTATGCTCTAAACTTGTGCCAAATTTCATGGAGATCCGTTCAGCCGTTTAGGCTACAAACGCTAACAAACATCCATCCATCCATCCATCCATCCATTCATCTAAACTTTCGCATTTATAATATTAGTAAGATTAGTAAGATAGTAAGATTAGTAAGATTTATACTAATATTATAAAGACGATAAGATTTTTGTATGTATAATAACTCAAAAACTACTGGGTCGATTTCAAAAATTCTTTCATCATTAAAAAGCTAAGCTGAGAAACAGGCTATGTTTTTAAAATTTACATAGACGAAGTCCCGAGCAAATGTAATATAGTTGCTATTGTATGTAGGAATTGAAAGCGATGCACGTAGAGATGGGGCAGACTATCGCGAAGCTGCGAGCGTCGCTGCAAGCTAAAGAAGCGGAGTTGACCAACATGAGGGAGAGTGAGAGCGCGCCCACCTCTGACGTCAGCTCGCTTAATGTCGCCGATTATGATGTGGCACAAGTAAGTCTTACTAAGCAACACTCGTTTTTATGCCTTTAGTAGATAATTCTGATAATAAACAGCATGAGAACATATGAATGAATATACACTAAATAATAGTGTCCGACCAAAACTAGTTTTTCTGCCGAAACCAAAATAGAAACCAAACGTTTGGCTAAAACCGAAACCGTAATTTTCTAAAACACATTTCATATTACGATTGTATATTGAAGTTTAGTGGGTTTTTAATTTTTTTTTTCCATATACAATGTTTTTAATCGACGTATCAAAACCGTTTTAATTTATGTTCGGATTATAATTTACTAATGGCGATGTTCGAAAATTCACTAATTTATAGTATAGGCTACATTTTGTCCGAAACCGTAACTAGATTTTTGGCCGAAACTGTGCCGAAATCACGCTATTTTTCTTTTGATCGCTTTTTTACGGAGAGTAATGGAAAAGGGATCTCAGGATTAAAAATGTATACTTTCATTAACTAAGCTGGTAGTTTTTATTTTACTTTAAAAAAAAATAGTTAAGTTGTGATGATACGCAGGCTGCAATGGATAGCGAAAGGGTCCAACATCTGTCGCAGTTGTTGGTGCAGAAGCAAGGCAAGGTAGAAGCACTTTTGGCGGATAACAATACACTCAGGATACAGTTGGATAAATTACAGGTAAACGACTATTTTTGTCCTTGCAATACAACATAACTGATACATTTAAAAAGACATGAGGTGGCGTACTAAAGACAACATAGTACCTTTAGTACCAGTGTAAAAATGTTTACTCTGTCTTGTCTATATATTTCTACTCTTTGGTTTCTAGCATTTCAGTGTTGTTTATTTATTTATATATTTACTAGCTGTTCCCGTGCGGCTTCATCCGCATGAAATTATGTAACTTGTATTACATTGTTTACATTTGTTATATTATCAATTGCAAATGTCAAAATGACATGACATGATGACAAACCATGCCAAACTTGCTTCGTTAATGTTGGCAGCAACTTATGGTCTCTTTCCCACATTAGGGTTTTTATCCAAAACATTTACCCATAAATTTAATGGCGTGAAAATATATAGCCTAAAGCGAGACGTAAGTGCAGACCATTTTATTAAAAGAAGAACTATTGAACAATATACTGTAATTGCTGACATCTTAGGCAACAAAGTGTGTGTTTACGCTTTATTATAATAGTATAGATTTAAATTAGGCTTATCAACATAATTAGTAATCCAAACACACATGGAATTATGTAGCTACAATTACAGATAAACTCATCATGCTTCAACTTAACATGCATAAACATTGATTACATAAAATTGTGATGTTTTGATATAATGGTGTTACTAAGACGAAGTACCGCACGGAGGCGGGCGCGCGCGCGCCGCTGCACAGCGTGGTGGTGTCCGCGCCGCGGCGCTACTCGCCCGCCGACACGCTCGCCAAGATGTCGCTGCGCATCGGACACATGAGCCGCCGCTACCCCGTGCTGCGAGTCTTTATTATATTTTATATGGTGAGTTCTACAAATTTATAGCATACCTATAGCAGATTTTTTTTTAAATATTACTAGATTTTTGTTAATTCACTAATATTTTCTTTAACCATTTCAACTAAGCTCCAGGCTTGTGCTAGGATATGGTTTACGACGATAGTCGAATGGCGGGATTCGAACCCTCGACCGCAAGATCGGTAGTCCGTACCACAAACCATTAGGCTATTGGCGCTTATAATTAGAAAGTTATTTAATAATTTTGGAAAATGTACCGCGCATGACGTCATATTCAGCGACGGTCGTTATAAAAGGTTTTTTTTTATTATATACTAGCTTTTCCCGTGTGGCTTCATCCGCATGAAATTATGAAAATTTTATTTTATAGTTTACATTTGTCAAATTATCAATTATAAATGACAAAATGACATGACATTACAAACCTTGGCAATCTTGCTTTCTTGATATTGGCAGCAACTTATTGTCTCTTTGCCACATTAGGGTTTTTATCCAAAATATTTACCCCTTAAGTTTAATGTCTAAAGAATATTCAAAAACATGCTGTAGTTGCTGACATCTTAGACAACAAAGAAGTGTGTGTTTACGCTTTATTATAATAAGTATAGATGTTAAAGTCAAAATGTATTGAAACACCTTATTTTATAGTTTAAAACAAAGGGATTTATCGATACTGGGTAAAAAAAAAGTAATTATTAAATTCACTTGAAAGTATTTAGGGTGGGGATCTTATCCCCAAACTCCTTTCCTTTGAATATAATATTATTAATTTATTTGTATTTTATTCCCAGATTGGCCTACATCTATGGGTTTTCACAGTTCTATTTACAAGTACACCAGAAACCTTCACAAGACCCAGCAAAACGTAACATTTCTCGTTTGTGTTATGAGGTTAAAACTGTTGTTGAATTGTTAAGAATCCATTGCGGATATCCATTTATGGATAATATGTATATCCAGGATTCGGTGCTTTTCATAAATTCTTGTTATTTCATACATTATTGGTAATCATTATTAAACTCATGAAATATAGTTTTTAAACATTGTTTCATAATTTTAATTGTATTCTATTCTTACTTTTGTTTATAAAGTTATGCTCAAATATCATTTTTCTCCGCAATGGCTTCAAAATAATTCAACAAAACATGTTTTTTTCTATTTGTAAGCCAAAACCTATCTTTCGTCGCCATAAAACCCATCGACTAATGTTTGTGCAATAATACTAATTTTATGTCACAAATTATTTTTAATTCTATTTTTAAGTGACAAGATAAAGAAATATCTCATCTAAATGTAAATTTTGGTATAAATATTTCAGAGTAATATGAAATCTACGTCTATCAAGTGCTCATTATTTTAAAATCTATTTTTAGATCTATTAGGAATTTTACTATCTCCTAGCTGCTCATATTCTCAAGCTCCATTGCCTTTTTTGGGTTATTTTTGGGTAAAAATAAGGTAAAACCGAGTTATTATCATTGGGGAAGACCCAACATGTTTCCAACCATAGTAATAGTACAAAACTCAGTATTTGTAAAAGTTATATAATATTGTTTTATTTGTTTTACTAAGGGCCTGTCCCACCACTGGCTGATAGAGGTTCAGATAGCTTAAAATGACGCCACTGTCAGATAAGGTATCGAAATTCGATATTTCCATCACATATTTTACACGTTGAATTGTTATCAGACAATTTACAATTTGGTGGGACAGGACCTTAATGTTTTTAAACTGCTGTTTTAAATTCTTATGCATTAAAATGCTTATCGAATACTTGTCAGTAAGATGGGATTCAAATATTATGTTGAAATGCATTAAGAATTACTGTTTATCCCAATTTATTACAAACTTGTATATAAATTAAACTGTTTGCTCTTAACTTATTAAAACTTTCGTGAGATATTATACTATACTAGCTGTTCCCGTGCGGCTTCATCCGCACTATATTATGAAAATTTTATTTTATTGTTTACATTTGTCAAATTATCAATAACAAATGTCAAACTGACATGACATGACAAACCTTGGCAATCTTGTTTCCTTGATGTTGGCAGCAACTGATGGTCTCTTTCCCGCATTAGGGTTTTTATCCAAAATATTTACCCCCAAAGTTAAATGGCGTGGAAATATATAGCCTAAAGCGTGACATAAGTGTAGGGCTTTTCAAAAAAAAGAATTATTAAAAAATATGCTGTAATTACTGACACCTTAGGCAACAAAGAAGTGTGTGTTTACGCTTTATTATAATATTATATATAAGTTATAACACAGTTAAACTGACGTGACAACCTTCGGTGCAGGCACCGACAGTTTTGAACCGAAGTGACGAAGGACCCCCAAAGGGTTCGAAACTGTCGCTGCCTACACCGAATGTTATCACGTGAGTTTAGCCGTGTTATAACTTATATGTTTGCTCTTTTTGTTTTGGGCATTTGTTTTTTTATGGAGATTAAAATTAAAATTTATTTTTTCACAAGGCATTTTTTTAGTAAAACATTAATTTGTAAATTTGAGGTTCCTTAAATACCAAAATATTTTCCTTTCTACATTCCAGATTGTCGTGATTAAAATTAATGAATGAATTCCAAATTACCTTTAAAACTCTTATTTCCTTAGTAATATTAAATTTTCTGTAAATTTTTATTGCGTTTGACATTTGTTTCTTTTCTAAATAAAATAAAAATTGTATATGTATAAAACACGCTTCACGGAAATGTGTTACAATAAAAATAACGCAAAATTGTATAATAAAAAGAATGGAAAATTGTTAAGTAAAAATTTGTTAAAATCAATAAATGTTATTGTTATTTTCGTTAACTTAAAATGTTTGTTTAAATGTTTTTTTTTGTAATTTAAACATTGTAAAATGCGAAAATTTTTAACAATTTCCGACATAAATAAAGGAATTATTTATTTTTAAATGATGCGTTTTTATTATTTCGTATTTCCAAATTTAGAATCTATTTAAATTAGGAAAAAGTAAAATAAGCTTTTTGTTATAAACTTTTTTTTCATTGTGACGAGAAATGCTTAAACCACTGAGCCACCGACGAAATCTTTTAATTCTACTTAAACGTTTTGTTTGGTTAAATTTAAGATTATGTCAAATCTTAATTTTTTTTACATGTATAGGGTTTAGCATGAACATTTGCCAGAAAGTGTTAATAACGTCAGCAATTTTTATCAGATATGTAGTGGTCACATCGGGCGTGAACTACACCAACAAATTTTGTTGATGTAACGAATTTCTTCGAAATTTTAGTACTATCATTGAGTCAGGTAGACATTGACAATGTCTTAAACTTAAAAACAGGTTTCCTTAAGTTAAAATATACAATAACTTGTTGGCATACTTATTCGTGTTGTATGGGAAAACCGCAAAGTGAAGCGATGACTGGATTTATGACGTAGTCATCTCAGTTATCAGTTATCATTGAAGTACTATGGGATTTACTAGTTGTTACCACAAAAGTTTAAGCGTCTTGTAAAAGTTCAACAATGTTAGAGGCAATGTGGGTATCAATTCTTGTTTTCATTCCATATACCTAACATATATGTCTCCCTAATTACTATATTACAACACTCATACTACCAACTAGTACATTAGTACTACAATACTGTGTATTGTGCCGATATGTGCAAGTTGCATCACGATGTTTTCCTTCACCGTATGTCGGGTACATTATTTAGTTACATATGAAATTCGGAAACATTGCTACATGGCGGGATTCCAAGTCAAGACTAAGATTACAAGTCAAGTGTCACTGACGCTCTGTTATTTGTATACCACAAACAAATGTGACTGGACAAATCTGGATTCGCAAACCAACAAAACCAAGAAACAGGTAAGATTTATCATGATCGTGCTAAATGGTATAGGCTAAGGGCCTGTGCCACCACTGGCTGATAGAGGCTCGGATAGCTTAAAATGTCACTGTCAGATAAGGTAACGAAATTCGATATTTCCATCACATATTTTACACGTTGGATTGTTATCAGACAATTTACAATTTGGTGGGACAGGCCCTTAATCTCTGCTTACGCCCCGTTTTCACGGCTGTACCAAATGAAGTCCAATGAAAAACAATTTTTAATAGTAATTGTGAGCAAATTCAATTTAATCTGACTTCCTAAATATAGAACATCCTTTGTCGGACATTGACAATTTATTTATCTAACACTTGGCCTCAACTTGATAAAGTAAATAGACGATTCGCTAAATCGTAGACCTAAACGGAATTGTACTGGGGAATTTAAGTTTAAATTATAAACAGCATAATTTCCTATTAGATTAAGTTTTAAGATTTCTATTCTTGTATATAGATATGGAGAAATATCATTTTCAAGTTGAATAACGTCAATACTAATTATTATTAACAGGTTATGATAAAACGTAACGTTCAAGAGCGTAATTTAAGTAAGCACATCAGTTCAGTTTAGGTCTTTGAGAAGTGCAGTCGTATTTATCTATAAAAATGCGGATAGGATAAAAAAAAGTGTAAAACATTACATAAATAGACTTTAGTGATTAAAATAATATATTTCATTTATGTATATTGATAGTATTGGTTGAATAAAGCAATTCATCGGTTAGTGGCACCTTGAGAGCGGGTTTTTTTTCCAATCGTAGGTTTTTCCTTGTTTTGTGTTTGCAAGATGAGTTTGAGTTTTTGTTTCGTGGTTTTTTTAGGTGAGTTATAAACATGTTTATAAGTATTTATTTAAATTATTAAACAGGTGAAAGGTTGTTATTAATAGTCATTATATTAATAAGTAAGGAATTTAAGGGATTTTTATATGATGAAGTCACTTCCTATTATTCATATTTTACGACTAAATGCTAATTATCACAACATTAACATACTTTAGAATTTAAAACTCTTTTTAACAAAATAAGCTTAACCATTGTAATTGTTATGTCGTAATAATTACTGTTTACTCATTACTTTCCTCATTGCTTCTTATTCTCAAGAACAGCTTGTTATGGTCCGCAATATATTGCAAATCACTTGAGTGGGTTTTAAAATTAAAGTTTTGTAAACAACTACGGGGTATTACGGTGGTAAACCAATTGGTACCTCAATTAGTATATATTCGTGAGTCACTCTTAGGACGTACCTTCGGCATAAACAGGACATTTGAAGAGTAACCCGTTTTACTACTTTTTTGCATATTCACATCTTAAGCCTTACCTAAGTTTCAATAATACTTATAACACGACTATAAAAAGTAAATAAAAGGTAATTAAAGGTTAAGCAGTTTGAATCTGATAGTAAAAGCAGCGTTAAGTGAAACAAGACAGAACACTTTGCGTGAAAATTGTCCAAAATTAATCGATCAATTTAATCATAAAATTTTGCAATACACAGCAAAACGATAGCTTAGGTAAGCAAAACAGTGAGTGAGTGATTAGAGTTCGATCTTTAATTAACAAGTATTTGTAACTGTATTTGTTTTACTTCTACACACTTGGTAATATAATTCAACAAAATTATTATAATGCTAGGAAGCTTACTAAGAAGAACAATGTGGTACATTGCATTGAGACAAAAGTTATGATGTGACAAACTAGTTTGACTGGTTTAAAAAGCATCGAATCACGCGTGAAAAGTAATTGAGTTTTTTTATTTTAAATGATAAGAATCATTCTCTAAGTATTTTCCTATTTGAAAAAAAAAAACTGAACAACGCAATGTTATATTGTAGAGTTGGTCTAACGACCTTGTGTTCTAGGTTAAGCTATCGCTAAAACTTTGGAATAACGATGGAAGATAAACAGTTGTATCCTGTTCTGCTTTCATGCAATCGTTATTTTTGTAAATCTAAAATAGTATGTGGAATTTGCAAGAAACTTGATGACATTCCACTCATTATTCTTAAAACCTCTAGATTGCAATACGTTTACCGCTATTTAAATTATGTAGAAACAAAAGACGATTTATGGTAACCAAAAATGAGAATGAAATTCCATTTTTGAATCGTCGAAGAAGTTTTTTTTTACTTTATTATTATTATCCTGCATATAAATGATGAACAAATATGTGAACTAAGTCTAACGTTACCAGTATTATTAATTTATTAAATTATTATTGTTAAAATCATTAAAATATAATCAGAAATCCAGTTACGCTACTTCTCGTTATCTTCTGTGAATTCTTAATAAAATGTAGATTGATATATCGACTATCGTGAGGTCAATTAAAGGTTACGGGGGTCGATACTACGTAGAGGAAGATATTAAGGTATCTCTGTTTTCACAGTTATAAAGTACGTAAAATATAATTAAACAGTACCTTTTCTAAACTTACTATGCATATAATTATAAAATAAATTGGTACATTTCATTTTATGGGCGTCACAGCCATGTTAACGCTTTAATAAAATATAGTCTTCATTACCTCTTATGTTTTCTTCCAATTTGCACAGAATACCTTACCAATATGGCCGTCGTGTCGTCGAGCTAATGCAACACCCTTATTCTGACATCCGACTACTATCCGATTATTAACATAACAAGCACAATTACGACATTTTAAAACCATGTCATAAATATTTTAAATAATGTTTTGGATCACAATTACAAAGCTTGTATCGCTATTTCAAATTATGACAAATGGTACTGATTTATAGCACAGACTAACAACCTTCAAGAATACAGAATACGTCAAAGTAGTCAAAAAGCTAACAATTTATTCAATGTAAACAAAAAAAATGTAATAAAAGAGAAAACAGAAACAAATTCTTTACAAAACTGTACTGTAAATATACATAGTCAGTATACTGGACTGTACTGTTGTGTAGTTTTGTAACATATATATGTACATGGAATAAGAAAGAAAAAATAAAAGATAAAAAAAAGAAACGCGTTAAACGATTTACAACTTTACTTGTATTTTACAAAAAAATCTGCTTTACATGATACTGTCCAAAAATATCTCAAACTGTGGGTTTGTTAACACATACAAAAACGTCATCCTTCTCTTTATCATTGCTAAAGCGGAGACAGCAACATGTTTCTTGAATCGTTATTTAAACAGAAATACGTTACAATGGACAGCATACCTTATGTAATTTTGAAAGAAAATCTAACATTAAAAATGAACAAAATGGGGATCAAATCATTGTATTATTGTGTATTAAATTATCAGTCTTTATAAATATGTTTCGGAATTCCCAAGTTATTATTAATGTTATCTGAAGGGGTTAATGTGATAAACTTGGTAATTTCATGTATTTAAGGTAACGTATTTTCTTATCAAAAATGTTTAGGATCTGGGTTAGGCCAAAAATCAGTCGACATGGGAATGTGGACAAAGTTGTAAACATACTCTGGAAGAAAGCATACAAACATAGGCTACTGAGGTTTTTTTTAATTTCACGCTGGCTTAGTAGCGAGCAAAAGTTAGTTATAAATGTGGTAGTTGGGATAGATTGATGTTTGTTTGAAGGTATCTCCAAATCGGCTATATGCAGGAATGGTATAGGTTTAGAACATTTTCTAAAACACAGACTAAATTTTATATAGTTTTAATTCCGCCCGGACAAACTCGCGGGTAACTGTTAGTACATAATCATTTACAGTAATAGTAGTAGTATCTTAGTAATTTTTTGCATGACGTCACAGGATATAATTTGTTGTCTTGTTATTCTTGCATTATCACGTGTAATGTGTTATTGACATTTTATTGAACGTCCATTTACCTCCTTTTAGGTTAAGAACATTGTTTACGGTTTATCGCAAATGTTTTGCAGTACTACGCAATAATAGGGATTTTGCTTGTTGTGTTATGACGCATTTGTTAACAGTTCAAATTCCCATCTTCAATTGTTTTGCAACTAACAACGAAGCTGACATGTTCGTTAGTCAACCTAGCCCAGCAGCTCCGTAGACTGTTTGAATCAATTTTTATTTTTTTACAATACCATGCGCATTTGCTTTTCTGTTAAAGTCATTTGACAATTATTTCAATCGCTAAGATTTTATATCATCTCCAAAATTGTTTACTATTTAAGCTATACTGTATTAAAAATTAATTCATGTGTATAGGTTATATCTTTGCCCTTAAAACCCATGATATAAGACAACAAATTATTCGTTTTGTCTTAAAGTTTTGCTTTGGTTTGAAATATAGGTCGATATTGGTAAATACCGCAATGTAGTATATTTTTGTTTTACCGTCGACTTTCCCATAGAATTTCTCGACAATTCTTTATATGATATTTAAAAACAATAACGGCTGGTCTACGAGTATATTGCCCGCATATTAGATGAGAATTTACAATTAGGCAAATCCCAACGTTAAGGAAAACCAGATCGTATAGCGTCACAATAAATTGTACTTAATAAAAACCACTTTGTACTTAGCCATTTCTTAAAAAACTATATTATAAATAATTCCAATGACGTAGTAAATATAATATAAGTTTTAAAGTAGTTGATGCGATGTACAGTTTGAAATTAACAAAAACAGCCTGATATCTGCTAGAGACGAGATCGAAATAGATAATAAAAAAATTGTAGCAATCGGCAATATTACAATAATAATAATAATAATAATAATAAATTCGTTTATTTGAAAAATAAATACAAAAGTTTTAAACAGTTGTTGGAGCATCCTTTTAAGTATA